TTGTTAAATAAAAGGAGAGGCTTTTGTTAGTTGTTACCAGCATCTGCAATTTCTCTTTCAGGTTATCCCGCAATAAGCAGATTATCCTCTTGCATTTGAAATTTTGGTTTCCTCCCTTGATTGAATTGAGTGCCTCAGATACATTGGGTTTATGCCGTGAATTTTGACCACCTTCAAATATTTCAAACTTGAATTCCTATTTTTTTCTAGGGATATGCATTCACACCTATTTAGCCAAGCCTAGAACAGGTTCAAATGAGATTTTTCAGTAATTTGATTCTAGCACAGGACAGCTAATTTAGATATCCATTTACAATTGCATGTCAAATCTGGAATGAACTTGAGGTAGAAGACAATGCAAAGCCAAGAAACCATATTCTGTCAATGTTATGAGCAGGTTGTTGGTTTATTTATGTGTCAATTGTTTTATGGATTCCCAATAATTTACCCTAAATTAATATTCCATAATGTACAAAAGATTCCACCAAAAAAATGTTGAGCTCTTAGAGTGACTTTACTTTGTTTTCAAATGCGAAATCTAAATTTCTTTGTTGACTTTTACATGGATATGGATGCAGAGAGTGCAACCGTTTGATAGGACATCCCTGTATCTTGTATTTGTAGTAGCTCCATATTGACTTCATAGATTTCAAAGTAATAGGCTGTAGTGTTACCTCGCACTATTAGTTTCATTTGAGCTTCATGGTGTATTCATATGCGCTTCTGCAACATGAATGTTATAAATAATGTTATAGATAACTTATTGAATTATGTGGAACTCTGAACAATTGTTCCCCAGCACTAATTTCAAAATTTATCCTCAACACAAATGTCTGGAATTATAAATGCCTTTTTGAGTCTCACAGGAGAAAAGAAAAAAGTATGGTCATGTGAACTCATATTTTCTTGCTAAGAGTTTTTAAAACTCTATTTGGATGGAACTATACTAGTAATACATTTCAAAGTTCACTCATGGCTAACATCTCGTAGTACTAAGAGGTCCATGTGTAGGGTTTATTTTATTTTAGTTCATATTTGATTTTCATAATGCGTTACATACTGATTACTGCTCTCAATCTACTATGAGCATTGTATGTCATTATGAGCTATTGAGCTGTTATTATAACTTGCCCATTTTGCATCATTTTCATCACTGAAGGAGTCAAAGTCACGTCTTTAGCTATCTTTGTAGTGCAGATATGGCAAAATCCCAATTTTTGGCAATATTTGAGTTTGAATGTCCTTGTGAGATTGTTATCTTTTTATGTTGACCGTATGCATGTTTGTTTTTTTCGCAAACAAAATTTGCAGTCCTAGGTATCTTGTGACAAAGCAATATATATAATCCAGAGGCAATGCAGAGGACTACAGACGTCTCTTCTCTTCCTGGTAAAATTTATGCACGATTGTAGTTCAATTTTATGATACCGTCTTGATACCATTTATAGGCAATGACAATTTGGCTGTAGTTTCCATCATTCAATACTGGATTTAGTATCTTGAGATAGAAGACAATACAAAGCTGAGGCACCATGTTATGTCATCTTATGAGCAGGTTAGTTGTATATTTCTTATTTAATAGTTCCTTCTTTTGATCAATAATTTTAGGGATACAACAACATTCGATTACATTTTAAAAAATAATGAGCTCTCCTTGCAACTTTACTTTTTGGATTTCAAATACAGAATCTAATATCGTTGTTTTTTATTATTATTATTATTATTTACATGGATGTAGAGAGTGCAACCTTTCATGAGAAGATACCGGTATCTTCTATTTTCTGTAGAACCATATAAGATCACAACCTTCAAGGTAATTAAATCTTGTTAGCTCACATTCTGTCATCTATGTTTCATAAATATTCATATTACTTTCTGTACTACTTTTCAGGTCCCAGCACTGAAACTGATTTCAGAGTGTTCACAGTAAGTCTCAACTTTACTGTTTACCTTCTTCGTTCCTCTTCTCTCTTTTTGGTTTCGTTCTTGAGCTCCTTTTCAAACCAGACATGCTGTGTTCTTGCCAGAACCTAGAAGGCTAGAGCATATTTGTCATTTGATTCAACTTGGTCTGAATCATTTATTACTGTCTGTGTTGGTCTAAAGATATTGATTCTGGAAAATTTTGAACCATTTTATCTGACAACTGTTTGGTTTTCATCAACTGGCAGCTGAAGGTGTATTTCAAAGTCAAACCAGTAGAGGCAAACAAACCTCAAACTGCCCCAGCAGCTAATGGAGCAGCAGCTTCATGCTCCACCACCTCTACCTCATCCACCACAAGGGTTGTAAGTCCTCCTAGAGTCCCTACCAAGCACCAACTCTAGTTATTAGCTCTCGACCGTCACCTCCTCCTATGGGAAATGGTCCTAGGCCTATGCCTCCTGGTGGCACCCCATCGCCTCCACCCTGCTGCATGATGGCAAATTTGGCTGCTAGGCTTCCAACAATTCCTCCTCAAGGTTTTCCAGGTCAACAGATGCCACCCCCTCCATCTCCCAGCATGAAGCGGTAGGTATATCCGGCCATCCAGTTCCATTTTTTGCTAGGCATATATCCAGGAAGCATCATGCAAGATGTCAAACTCCAGAGTAAAGCATGATATGGTTCAGAATTGTAATCAAATTGCATATTGGATTTATTAATCAATTCAAGTACCTTTTTTGGAAATTAGAAGCTAGGATATAATATTTCAGTTTGATCTCTGGAAGAGTACTCAACAAATGACACGGCACTCTTCAAAATTTACCAACTTTTCATTCAAAAC